ATTATTTGCTATAATAAGTACTGTAAACCAGAGAAGAATCAAGTATCAATTAAAGTATCATAAAGCAGAGCAGAGGGTTTTTATAAAAGAGCCATGCACTGTTATAAGCGATAAGCAAATGCTCCTAAAATGCAAGCTTGAGAGCATGGTTTATACCCAATTCAACTGTTCTCATTGCATTTGCTTTATAAACAATGCACTCAAAAACTATTTGTTGGGCTAAATAATAGACCAAAGAATAAAATGTAACTCCTTAGCAGCAATGGATTATCAGTAAACAAAAAGCCCAGAAGAAAATCCAGTAATTGATTCCCTATTCACCTTATTAAAATGTATGTACTTCGAAAGCTTTTTCAGGCCCTATCACTGGCCATATTTCTCCTGGTAAACTAACCACTGGACCAACAAACTCATTCCAATTGAACACCTGAGAAGTTCTAATAAAGTCAGACTTCATTCCACTGGCTAAAGCCAAAACTCCACCTGTAGATAACATGCTCTTAGATGAATTTATTTACAAAAAACCGATTCCAGAAAACTGACCTAACTAGTGCCTGGGAAACAGGAAATGATCATTAATTAATAATAGGTTCAAATTAAGCATATGGTTATTATCACCGCTATTATCTGATGCTTAAAAATTTGCTCTGATGACAAAACTGGGGTTAAGCTTATTTACACAGCATTTTAAACAGTGCATCTCACTGAAATCTTTCTCAATTTTTCACACTGTACAGTGCCGTGTGCAATAAATGTTAGATGTTGAAAGTGTCAATCTCCTAAATGCTTTTTGTGAGGTTCAAGCTAAACAACAATACTAACAGTTGCAGCAGCAGCAACCAGAGCAAAAGCATGGGCTAGGCCTCTGCATAAGAACTTTACAAGTGTTATTGCATTCAATCCTCACCACAACCCTGTGGGGTATTGCTGCCTTTACTGTACAGCTGAGGAAACAGAAAAGTGACTTATCAAAGGTTAGCAAGTAGTTGAGTTGATATTCGTCCCCAGGCAGCCTGATTCCAGAATTCATGCTATTCATCTCTGCCTCACTTATGATAATAAAATCAGAGACCTATGTGAAATGAAACAGGACTAAATAGTTATCTCAGTTATAAATATTATGACCAAATAAATATAATTAAATGCCTCTCCCATTCACAACTCCTACTTAATTAACACTCTGAAAGAGTACAGTTGCTGATGCTATTTGAAAAGCTTCTGAAGGTGCTTTCCCTACATGTATTTAGTCATAAGCGTTAAGAAAGAGATCATAATCTCTCACTGAAACTCAAAACTTCACACTAATGGGCTATCAATCTGCTAGCTCTAAAGGTTCCAATGCCTTAAATACCAATTCAGGGAAAACAATATTATAAGATGCAACCAAAGACTTAGAAGGGTAAACCCAGGATATCCCCTAAATATGTGTTCCAGTGTAATTTCTTGAGTTTGGTAGGATCTCTTAGAAGTAGCACTTCAACATACATTGTGCCTTCTCATTCCACACCAGAGTCACAACACTATCCTGTCTGTCCCATTTGCACATGTCCATTACCAATAGTCTAAGAACAAGTGTCAGCTAACAATACCACAAGTTTCTAAGTCCAAAACGGAAAGAAAACAAACTCACGTTTTCTCTGAGAGGCCTGCCACTCTGTTCAGCACCGAACCTAAACTTTACCTAATATACTTCTCACAAAAGCCCTTCAGGTAAATGCCGGTATTCCCACTGCATACACCAGGAAACAGACGCAGAGGCTTGGCAACTTGACTAAAAAGGTCACACATGAATTCACACAGCAGTGATTTCAACCATGTGTATGCTCCTACTACACTGCCTTACACGATATCAGTGATGCCTTTCTCTGATCAACAACAAAGAAAACTACGTTTTAGGTCAAAGTACTTTGATGTTTTAAAACAGCAAAAACCATCCTCCCACTTGTTGCTGTCACAGTCACACTTCCCAGCAGACGGTCTTTCCTCCTTCCCGATTCCCCTTGGTTTACTCTTAGTACGGCTGGCCTCACTGTGCCCCGGAAAGGGGGCCAGCTGTAGGAACAAAATAGCAATGAATGTATCCTTAACTAATAGCATTTTATAAGGCCATAGGACTCACGCAAATATTTTTGCCCCAGGTCTAAGTTACTTCTACCAAAGAATATGTGTCAGTTACAAGAAATGTGAGCCTGCCCTAACAATTAGGAAATGAAAACAGTGAACAAACTATGAATACACTATCATTTTAATCACCACTTTCTAAAGGCTTTAACCAATCCAGACAAGATACAAGAACAACAAAATGCATAAAGGTAATCTCATTACCATCCCAAAGTCTGGCCTCCTACCACATTATTGTGAAACATCAGGGATAGATAGCATTAGCCTCAAAAAACGGGCCTCTCCCCTCAGGTATTAACTGAAGGGCAATGATAGATAACAGAATGCTAGTAAACATGACACTTTAAATAGCTTTAAATTAGAGAGGATTATTGAAGAACTTCCCAGAACAACATTTAATTAGCTTTAACAAGTTAAGGTGTATTTATGATTCCCAGAGGGGGGCTTCCTTATCTGAAGAAAACAGGAGGAACTTTCTGTTAGCCTAAGTTGTACTGATAATGGAAGGTGAAGAGCTAAAAAGGCTTTTAACCAAAACTGCTTAGGAAATAAATAAGGAAAGCTAAATGTATCTGAACTAAACTTGGGGGGTGGGGAGGGCGAGGAGTGGGGAGCCTGCTGCATGGACTAGGAAGGAGGACAAGAGCAGATAAAAAGGAAACAGGCAGGACTCAGCTAGAGGAAGTGTGTGGGGAAGGAGGAGGAGTAAGGAGCAGAGAGGACTGACACCCAGAAAGTACTGGCGAATGGAGATGGGCAACTCAGATCTAGAAAAATAAGGAAATAAATGCCTAAAACCAGGAGGTTTGCCACAGCCTGATCTATGGAAAGGATTCTCCTCCTTCTACATACTAAAATCAAGATAAGGGAAATGAACCGGCCAAGACTAGAGAAGATAAGGTTCATTCATATAAGACATAGGGGAAGGTCCTGCACAAGGATAACTTCTCGAGAATGGAGGCAACATTTTGTTTCTTAAAAAGTGTTCACTTAAAAATGTGTGAATTGATAGCATGTGAATTATATCTTAACAAATCTGTTATTTATTAAATGTGTTAGGCTGGGCAATGCATGACTGTACTCACGACAATTACCATGACGAGTTGGGCCTGTAAAAGCGTACCCCCCAAATTCCCTCACCCAGTAGGGAGAGTTTACTTGTGTCTGGGGACATCTCTGTTGTAAAACATCAGTCTGGAAAGACAACTAGAACATGATGGATACAGAAGGGGGGAAAAAACCTGTGAGCTCTTTAGAGATCTTACCCATTTTTGCCCTTGGAATGTTTGGCAGTGTCGGGGAAGGAAGCTTTTGTTTGGGGGTATGCCTTGAAGTGGAATATCAGGTTTCTTCAGGGGATGATCTAGGGTTAAAATCTACCTAAAGAGAAAATGATCTGGGGTGGAAAAGTCAAGTCAGTTCTGGAGAAACCCCAGAGGTTTATCGCGAAATGATCGTACGAGTCTTATCTCTGCTACCCCTAAACTGGACTGCACGCCCGTGTCACTTCCGACTGTTACTCGTGAAGAAGACGGATGCTTTGCCATGATCCCAGAACTTTCTGGCCAGCTGCCCACTGACGTAAATTAGAAAAGCATTCGGGGACCGGCCTGGGTGAAGCGAAGCGCCACGTCCAGCTCGAGGCGCCCACTTCCTCCCTCTCGATGCAGGAAAAGGGACAGAGTAGGGTAGAAAGCGAGCGGGAACGCCAGATCAGCCGTCTTCGCCCCCTTTCCGGGAGCCCCGCCTCTGCAGCGGACCCCCGCCCCACTCGCCCGCCTACGGCCCGAGACCCCCGGGAGGAGGGTGGCGGCGGCAAGCGCCCCCGCGGGCAGCAGGCGCACCACCCCCGGGGCAGCTGTCGCCGCGGCCCGCCCGGCCCCGGCCTCCCCGGGAGCAATAGGCTATCGATTCAGCTGCCTGTCGCTAGGAGCCCCGGGAGAGCGAGGCCTACACCGCCCGGCCGGAGCCCCGGCCTCGATTTCGCCACTTTCCCCACGCCGGAGGGGAAGCCGGGGGCCAGCCGAGCCCAGCTGGGCGGGAGGGAGGAGGTGCGGAGACCACCTGCAACGGCAGTCGCGGGCAAAGGGGGTGTAGGCGCGGGGCTGCAGTCAACAAGTCTCCCGGGGTCGCCCACCCACCACCCCCAGCCTCATAAGTTGCGCATTCAAGTTCAGGCGGGTGCCCGTCAGCCTCCAGAGCCGTCGGCACTGCCCACACCAGGAGAAAAACACGACGCGGAAGAGGCTACCACTGCGAGGGGAGATGCGGCCGGGCCTCTCAGGGCGCCGAGGGGGCGCCCTGCAGCGACCCGCCCGCCCGGCTCCTCTCTTCGCTCACCCAGCCAGCCCCCCGAGTCGCGGCCCGCGACCCCCGGGCGACCAGCCCTGTCACCGCCCGGCCCCAAGGCCCCCTCTCCCGGACGCCGGCGCCGGGGACTCGAGCTCCCCCTGGCCTCCGGCGCGCCTCGGCCTCCTCCCCCTCCGAATCCCCAAAATGCCCCCCGCACCTTTTAAAGTACACGGAGGAAGAGTTTCCTATCAAACTTTGTCAGGCGGTAGTCTCGCCCCCTCCCCGACCCACACTTCCAGGGCAGTCATCAGGAGAGACCACTTTACACTTGGGATAAAGCGAATTAAGGACCTGTCAACCATTTTAGGTCTTTTTTTTTTTTTTTTTTTTTTTACAGAAGACATCCTCTCCCTCCCCTCCCTCCCCCTGCAAGGGTTTGAATTTGACACCAAACCTTCCCACCGCAGAAGGGGGGTGGGGGACGGAGGGGGTGGGGACGGAGGGCAGAAGGAGGGTGGCGAGGGAAAGCGAAAGGGGAGGTTGGAAGGGGGCCGGGAGGCGCGGGGCGGGGAAGGGGGTTGATTTACCTGAGACCAGCCACTGGCCTCCATTGTTGGAGAATTCAATGGCATTGACACAGCCGAAGTGGCCGAGGAGGTCCTTCTTGTAGAGGTTTCTGCAGCCCCGCAGGCGTCTCCTCTGAAAGTCCTGAGTGAGCAGGGGGTCCCCATGCAAGCCCCGCTGGGACAAGAAGCCCACCACTGACCTCATGCTGCCCCCCAGGCCAGCTCTCCTCTTCATGCTGGAACCGCCGCCGCCGTCGCTCGCGCCGCCGCCCCTCCCTCGGCCTCACGCGCGGCCGCCTCTCTCCCCCCACCCAACCCTCCCCCCGCGCTGCGATCCGGATGGTTCTTTAACCAGCCATGGCAGACGGAGCGAGGTGTGCAGACACTCGGTGGCGTTCGCGGCTTCCAGAGGGTCCCCTCCCTCCCTTTTCCCCCCTAGGCTCCTCCCTCTCCTTCTCCGCCTCCTCCAGCAGCTGATCCTCAGCTGCTGCCGCGCTTCCGCGACGCGCGGCCCTTCCGCCGGCCGCCGGTGCCGGGAGAACGCGGGCGGCGGCTGCCCCTCCCCCGCCGCGGGCTGCTGGCCGGAAGAACGCGGGCGGCTGGCCTGGAGACCGCGGGCGGCGGCGCGGTTTCCCGCCCCAGCTCCTCCCCGCGCTGCGCCCCCTGACCGCCGCACTCTGTGAAGTTGAGGGCGCGTAACAATCGGAGCCGCCGCGGGGCTGCGGGCTCGCCTTCCTCCCGCGGTGGCCGGCGCTCCTTCGCCGCCGGCGGGCCCGGCGCCGGGACGAGGTCGGCTGCCAGCTTTTTGTCCCGGTGGGGAGAATGCAGCGCGGGGTGGCAGAGGGGTGGAGGACAAGCTCTGGTCACCCTCCCTCAGTTCGTCTCATCCTGGGGCCGCCCGAACCCTGTCCAAGGGAAGGGAACCAGGAGTTAGGACTGAACCCTGGGGTAAGGCCGCTGGGGGATTTTGTGAGTGCACCCGACCCTCCCCCACCAAGTACATTTTTAACACTGCCCACCCCCACCCCAAGTTCAGTTCTCCCTTCCTGCAGCCATTCAGTGAAAAGGCTAAACTGTTCGATCTGGTAGACAACAGAGTGATATATGGGGAAGGGGGGGCGGTTCTTAATAAATGGGGCGAAAATTGCCCAAACTGAGTTGAGAAAGCTCTGAGAAACAAAGTACTGTCCACTAGTTCCAGGTGCATTCGCAGAATGCAAAAAGCATTGTTCGAAAATAGCAATATCCGTTATTTAATTGGGTGCAGTGAGCCCCTCTTCAAGGTCTTGAGCGTAGAGCTCCAAGGCTGCACAGCTGGTAACCAGCAGCTATGTTCCAGGCCAAGAGTGGCAGGGGACCTCCCTCCGCGCGTTGACCCCAGTGGGGAGACTGAGTGTGAAGTGCTTTGGAATTCTACCAGATACAGTAAAATCCCCCTGCCCAGTGTATTGCACTTTTCCTAGAAGCTATCCCCTGTCGTTAAAATAAACCATGGTGAGCTACTAAAATAGGCAGGTGCCCTTTGCGCCTTTTCAATTTAACAGGAATTCCATCCTCTGAATCAGAGATAGTCATGGGCAATTGAGGGTACACAGCCATGAAGGGTGGGCCGAACATGGAAGAGGACACCCATCAAGCAAAATCACCTGCTTCTGTTTTTTTTTTTTTTTGCAAGAGTCATGCCTATAACAAATGTGCGAGTGAGTTAAAAGTCAACATTTTAACAAATGTTGCTGTACTTAGAAATTCACCAGATTGCAGAAATTATGGTTTTAATGGAGTATGAGTTTCCGAAACAGGAAATTGTGTAGTGCTTTCTTTTTTAAAAAGTTTTGTTCTCCGGATGCTTCAGAGTGTTTATGCATTATAATAGCCCCGTAAAGATCAGTAATGGTGTACCAGCTTGATTAATGATTTTTTAGCACCCAACACCTTTTCTTCATAGCAACCTCATAACGTGCAATTAAACATGTGTTTTTGTGATTTTATCAGAGTGTCCCCAACTCTGCTGTAGTCTGAGAGAAGGAACTAGGTAGGTCTTTCTGCTTACCTGTGTTTGTCCAGAGCCAGCACCTGCTGGCACTTAGTGGCCACTTGAATATTTGTTGAATACTTGAATGAATTTAGGGAATGGGGAAGAATTTGGAAGGGAAGGTAATGACTTCAGTTTTGGAAGGGTTGAGGTTAAGATGTCTATGCTTCTTTCCGGTAGAGCCAATTTCAAGGCCAGTTTCCCATCTCACTGTTCCTTTGCCTGGCATACTCAATCCACATTTTCAAAAACAGAGATCATCTAGCACCTTCCAGATTAATGAGACATCACTTATACCTCCCTTATTTGCTTGAGATGGAGGAGATGGACACAGATGTGGTTCAAGTGGCCTTTACTGTGGCAATGTATGACATACTCTCCTCTCCTCTCTTAGGCATATATATATACCTCCTCTCCACGACTCTAAATGTGACTTGCTTTTCCCCAATCCCTGGAATAACTGTCCCATTTACCACAGCCTAAAAATAGACCAGGATCTGATCACAAGCCAGCCCAATTCTAGGACTTTGCTAGAAACTTCCTTAACTGTTCAGTGACCAACCAGGACAGAAATATAGGACCAGTCTGTTTATCTCCTACTGCTAGTCTGGACAGCTTTTTGTCAGGAGAATGCATAAAATCTCTCTCCCTCTTTTCCCATAATTGGGGTTGCCAGATAAAGTGCAGGATGCCCAGTTCAATATGAATTCAGATAAACAATGAATATTTTCTTAGCATACGTATTTCCTATGCAATATTTAGGATACACTTATACTAAATTATTCATTGTTTATCTGAAATTCAAATTGAAATGGAGCATCCTGTATCTTTCGCTAAATCTGGCAATTCTACCTATAATTCAACCCAACTTCAAAAGATCAAGCCCCACAATATCTATTTGCTTTTGTTAAGAATTTGATATAGTTTCTTGTGTCATTTATTGCAAACTAATAATACTGTACGTAACTATATAACGTTTAATCAACTTCAGTGACCCTATGAACTTGGCCTTTCTGATATAGGCATTTATTGTGAAAAGTCCAGTGTACTTAGGTCAAAAATAGCAAATGAAATTGGACTCGAATAATCTAATCACTGCATAGAATGCACAGAAAAAGGAATAGTGAAAAATTCTTATTTTTCTTACTGAGGCCCAGAAACTCTTATATATTGACACTGTTTTGAATTTCATTCTAGAAAAACACTGTTTTGAAAACTCATCCTGGGAAATTCTGGATGTGGGAATTACTTAACAGGAGAATGCTTACTCTTTGCTCCATCATGGGTTCAATATTGATCAAACATAGAGTTCCTAGAAATTCATTTGTTCTTTGACTTCTATTTTGTTTGGCCCTGATATCACTGAAGGGGAGGAGTAAAGAATCTTTAAAAACTGACTGGATGCTAAGGAAATGCTCAAACGTTGGAAATTGTTTAGGGGTAACCTGGATGGCTCAGTGAGTAGAGCATACAACTCTTGATCTCGGGGTTAAGTTTGAGCCCCATGTTGGGTGTAGAGATTATATAAAAAGAAAATTGTTAAAAAAATAAACAGCTAGGAAAATACTAAGACTCTTCTCACACATTTACTAAATTTTAGCATAATAAGAGCTACATATGGAATCTCACAACCTCAGAAATATTTCCCTTAAAAACATTTTTAACTCTAGGGGCATCTGGGTGGTTCAGTTGGTTAAGTGTCCAACTCTTGATTTTGGCTCAGGTCATGATCTCATGGCTCTGAGATGCAGCCCAGGGTCAGGCTCTGCACTGAGAGTGGATTCTCTCTCTCTCCTTCTCCCACCACGCCCCCCTCCCCCCCACCATTTGCACACGTGTACATGCATGCTCTCTCTAAATAAATAACCGTCTAAAAAAACATTTTCAACTCTAAAATAAAATAAACTGCTACTCATAGATAAGAGATATTAACTCAGGTAAAGATCAATGTCTTAACTATACATATAAGTTGACTGTCATTCAAATTTTAAAGGATGTTATTTATTGGTCATTTCAAATAGACAACAGTCAATTTTAATCTTGAAAAAAAATCTGTTTAAATACAAATTCCCCCAATAAGATCTATAGAATCAGAGGATATTGTTTTATAGTTTTAGCTCTTTACATTTAAGTCTGTGAACCATTTTAAGTTAATTTTTGTGCATATAGTGTGAGATCAGGGTCTAACTTTATTCTTTTGCATACGGACATCCAGTTGTCCTACCAACATTTTTCTAAAAAAATTGTTCTTTCCTCCATTGAATTGCTAGTATAAGAAATGTGAAGGGTACCTGGGTGGCTCAGTCAGTTAAGCATGTGACTTCGGCTCAGGTCATAATCTCACGGTTTGTGAGTTTGAGCTCTGTGTCAGGCTCTATGCTGTCAGCTCAGAGCCTGGAGCCTGCTTCAGATTCTGTGTGTCCCTTTCTCTGCCCCTCCCCCACTTGTGCTCTGTCTTTCTCTCGCAAAAATAAATGTAAAAAAATGTTTTAGAAATGCAACAGGTTTTTATATATTGACCTTGTATCCTTCAAACTTGCTTATGCAACTTATTAGCTCTAATAGTTCTGTGTACCTCAAATTTTCTATATACAAGATCATCTCATGGACAAATAGGTATCCAAATGTCTTTTATTTCTTTTTCTTACCCAGCTGACTTGGCTAGAACCTCTATACAATGTTGAATAGATGTAGTAAGAGCGGACATCTTGTCTTATTCCTGATATTAGGGTGAAAGCTTTTAATCTTTTAGTCATTCCCAAATATTATGTTAGTTGTAGGTTTTATGTGATTCCCTTATCAGGTTGCAGGAGTTCCTTTTTATTCCAACTTGTAGAATGTTTTTTTTTTTTTATCATGAAAGGGTATGAGATTTTTGTCAAATGCTTTTTCTTGTTCATTGAGATGTTATGTCCTTTGCTATATTATGTTGATTGATTTTGTTAAACCAATCTTCCATTCCCTATTTGGTCATGGTATTTAATCCTTTATATTTGTTACTAGATTCCTTTGCAACAAATCTTTTTTTTTTTTTTTTTTTTTTTTTGAGGTAGAGAGTGTGTGTGCTAGCAAGCTGGGGGAAGGGCAGAGGGAATGGGAGGGAGAGAATCTTAAGCTGGTTCCACGCCCAGGTTAAAATCCTTAGCTGGTAGCAATAGCAGCGGCTCCATCTCAGGACTGCGAGATAATGACCTGAGCCAAAATCAAGGGACACCTACAAACCCACCCAGGTGCCCCTGGTCTT